GAGGATGTTGTTGGTCGCCTGAAAGCATACGAGGAAAGAGTAAAGGAAGAGGATGTCGATGGGAGTGATCAATCGAAGGTGCTATTTGTAAAATCGACTGGAGATAGAGATGGGTCGTCGTCTGGTGGTGCAGGCGCGTCGAGGTTACACAGTGGAGCGAAAGGAAAGTTGAAAGGGGCAGGTGGATCCGGTGGATATAATCAAAACAATAGATCCGGATTTGGGTCAGCTGGATCGAGTGGGCCCAAAAAAAATCGTAGCCCACAAGGAAGTAAATACAATAACTCATCACAAGCCCAAGGTGGGGAGCCCAATTCTAATTCTAATTGCAAAAATTGTAATTGTTGTTGTGACAAGAATCGGAAAAATATGGAAAAAGACCGATCTAAGGTGATTTGTTTTCGGTGTGAGAAACTGGGTCATTTTGCGTCTGAATGTCTGAACGTGGCGACATCGATGAGTCCGTGTTCTAAAACCGGATCGGAATTGAAGAATTCTCTAGAAGGACTTAAAGATTTGGGGGTGATTGTTGGAATCCTAAGTCGAGTAGGACTTGGAGACCAACGTAGTTTTCTGGAAATCATAAACAAGTCGGTTTGTAGTTTCCTAATTATAATCTAATTACAAGTCGGTAGTTAGGATTATATTTACATTGTTTTAGGTCGAGCTATGATTATTGGAAAACATTGTAAACACCGTGAGTTTTTTAGTGATATTCTCACAATAATCAAAGAGTTATTTTGATTAATATAACTGTGTTTACATATTCTGATCTTTAGAACCGGTCTACTAGCTTCGTCCTTCTTCACTACCATAGCCAGTGATGTCGCCAACATGTGCCACCACACATCTACTTTTGTCGGAGTTCACCACAACTTCCATCAATCTTCTTCTATCTTACAATTCTTGCCTCCGTGGACCACTTGAACCATCGCCTGAAACATGCTCGTCCATTAGAAACAATATGTTCTCCAACGTAAAGCTCTAGCCTCCATCTTTGATGAAAAGCAATAACCTTATGACGATCTGGTTTTCCGGTGAAGCTGAAGTAGAAGGGCACCCCATCAGACTCTTTGGTTTTATCAAAGATTTCCTTCAGATCTGGTGGTGGTTTAATTTTTCGACTTGACTTGGTCCTGATTTGATTTTCCTTCATATTTGCTTTAGATATGGTTTGTTATGATTTCAAGTCCGGTTTGCTTTAGATGAATGATGTGGTTGTTGTTTGTCGGTGTTGTTTGTGGAGAAGATGAAGTGTTTGTTCACCGAAGGATGACTAGAAAAAAATGGTGAGAGGGAAGATGGTTGGAGGGTGGGTGGAGAGGGACCTACATCTTGGTATCATTTTTTAATAATAATCATTAATAACATGAATCAAAATAATAAAAAGATTTAGAAAAATAACATAAAAGGTAAATAGTCTTTTTAAAAGTGGTAGAGACCATAAACACAATAAAACCAAAATATAGGAACCGAATGAGTTAAAAAAACTATTAGGAATCAAATACACAAATCGCCCCAAACCACACAACCCATTTGTATAATTTACCCTATTAAAAATAAACTACACTTAATTATACATTATACCTGGACAATCTTTGATATCATATTTAATCATATAAAACTATTTATTACAATACATATATGCTGAGACTAGAATAAGCGATCTTATCTAAACAAACTCTAAACAATTAATCGAACAAAATCGAGGTTTGTTTCATAATTAATGCTTGAAACGAATCAATGGAACCCAATAATGAGTGGATGGGCGGTTAGCCCGTAATTGGGGCCTATAAGAAAAAAGATCGATGCCCAATAAATGAAAGAAGGGCATATTCGTTTTTACTTAAATACCAAATTATTCACTTTTAAGTCTTCACTTTATATGGATCATCAAGAACATTGTTTACCGAAGCAATTCAACCTTTTCTCTAAAAAAAATGATCTCCGTGGAACGGAGGGGCATTTTGTATCCAACCACAAAAGCAACTTTCAATTATAAAATGACACATGATACGAAAGTAACAATGCGTATCGTCCAATTATTGATATAAAACCTTGTTGTATTGGATCATATATGACTCACATTATTCTATGCTCTTTACTTTAGGGGATCCTGAAAGTGATATTCCATACATTTCGCCATTTTGGAATCATTGATCTTTTTCCTATATTCTTTCAACCTTTTTCGATTTTTATTAGTTGTAACATAATGGTGAGATGTTCTTAGATTATGAAAAAGGAATATTAATAGACCTTTAAAACACTAAGGCCTTGTTCTTTTCCATTAATATTTTGGAAATTTCCAGGATAGCCTTTATATTTTTTTTGCAACTTATTATTGACATGTCGTACTTGTTTTTTTTCAAAACACACATTCGTATTTATAAAAGTTTTCTAGAAAAATTCATTTGTATTTATAACAGTTTTTAAAATTCTTTTTTATCTATTAAAGAGCTTTTTTTTACAAGTTTACATTAACAAAATTTATTGTTGTGACATCTATTTAGTAAGTATATGTTCTTGTAAGAAAAATGGTTGTATTAGTTAAGTTTCCCTTTCATTTTTTACTTACGGATTGGCCTTTTTCCTATCATGATGTCTTTATCAGATTCAACCACAAGATTTTGGAACCCTAAAAATATAGTTATGGAGTTCAAGTAAGAATGGACAGAAGCGGACCCATATAATTTTTTTTATAGGTTTCCTAATTATCAGGTAAAAGTTCATTATGAATGAAATCAATTTCCGGGTTAAAATTCTCATGTATTATTTTCCTTAAAAAAAATAACGAACATTGAAAAAAAATACTAATATTCTCATAATATTTACCGCGAGGAGGGAGAGAGACATGAATGACAACATAAAGTTGGTCAAATCGTAACAAAAAGTATGGTTATTTCTAGAGAATTCTGAAAAATTCGAGAGATATCACAAATATGATGTTATGGTTTGAATGGCAATTATATTGAAAAGAATTCCATAATATAGAACTTAATTGGATATACGAGGGGAGAACCAGAAAACTATATGATAGTATAACCAAAAGAGTGGTGTAGTGGAAGTTCATATTTTAAGGAATTTACATATTTCTATTGAGAATCATCAAGGTTTGAGACTATGCAAAAAAAAAAAAAAAAAAAAAAATCATTTTTATTACGACGATCACCCAAATCACCGCATTTTTTTGAAATATGTACAGGCCCGGTCTGCTCATTTTAAGGGCATTATGAGAAAACTAAAAAATGGGCCCACTTTTTTTTTTTTTTTTTTTTTTTTTTATTATTATTTATAACTAAAATTCAATAAAACCAATGTTTTAAAAACCGTTTTTTTAATTGAACCGGTCGAGTGACGTTTTCCAGTTCAACCGGTTTAACCGGATGGTTAAATAGGTTATACTTTTTTTTATATGTTTTTAATTATCCTACATACATTGATTACAAAACTTGTCATCTTTTTAGTATTACAAACGTAAATAGAATGCAATGTATAAAAACAATCATTATAGAAACCAAAATCAAACAAAGAAACCCAAAACAAACACAAAAATCCAAGACTGTTCGGTTCAATCCGATTCAATTCAGCCGGTTGAACCGGTTTTTTACCAAAACCGGCCGGTTCAATCTGGTTAGGAAATCATTATAAAACCGATCCAAATCGAACCGTCCTTACCTCCGGTTTCCGGTTCAATCGGTTCGAACCGATTTTTAAAACACCGAATTAAACTACAATAATTGTTATAACAATGGAAAATGAAATGGGCTGTTTAAATTAGGAAGTGACCTGTAGCTTTGACTTAGAAGGAGAAGGCAACTTAAAAAAACACAACAGCATTTCCCATTAGGCCAACTCATTACTTTTTTTAGTTTATTCAGAAAGTTATTATATAAATATATAATACAGTATAAGTATTTAAAAACCGAGCCCCTGAACGACACGTGCCATGTGCAATCGTACACCCATCACGTGCTTAAGGCCGACCTTGCATATTTATGTGCAAAATTTTCCTTTTGAGTATTAATAGAAATCGTAAGCATCTTAAATGTTTGATATGCGTGTATGGTATATTGATTGTGTAAGTAAACCCATTACGCATATTGATGTCTAAGCAACGGGATGTGAATCTATAAAAAAATATAAAGATGTTTGTAACTATAGAAAGAAAACGCCATAACAAAAAGCCTTAGAGGAAATGATCAAGCGGTAAGTCGGACATTTTACAATCGAAAGAAATATAAAATTGGTGGTTAAGAAACTGTCACTACTAGAAAAATGTTAATAGAGTACGGTTGAAAGTATGAATATAGTACGTACATAGAGGGCGTATTAGTAGAGGGGTGTATTAGATTACATACCTAATAGAGTACGACTATTTAGCCGTACTATATGTATCATATCTACTTTTTACAACCATCACATACAATCATCTAATACGGCATATATACACATCTAATACACCCATGCACAACCGTACTTGATATGAATCCTCTCAAACACACACCCATCTAATACACCATACGATCTCCTCATACAACCGTACTAGATGTCAAGATACCAAACCCAGACTCCTTCCTAACGGCCATTCTTAATTGCATTCCAGCCATATTCAACATCCAATTACAAACTTCATGATCTTTGATTCTAAATGAAGGGACAACAGTCAAAACTAATATCGAAAAACACCTGGATATATCTTCTATCTTCCGGAGGTAAAATATAATTGAAATTGCATCTTCATTTTCCTTCTTATGAATAGAGAGCATATGGAGTCAAAACACTGAAGTTCCTGTTTACACAACCAACAAAATCTAATCTTATGGACAATGATAAATGAAATGAGTGAATAGTTGGAAAATTACTAACCTATATGTGACCATGTTACCGACAATTGGAGGATTTGGCATTCTCATATATAAGGTGATACTTTAAATTTCTAGGCACATTAATTGCAGATTCCTTGACAGTCAAAAGCAAACAAAGCCTCACCACCTAGGGGCATAGATAGAAAATTAGAAAATGGAATAATAAGAACAAAATCATGTGTGTGTAACATAAATTAATCATATATATAATATACCCATAACATAAATTAATGCCTTTTGTATTGAAGATTGAAGAATACCTTTTCAGTTATGATACCAGATATTAAATTAGCTGGTGTAACATCAAAAGTTGGATTCCAAACACAAATCACAGAAGCTACAACTTGTTCTCCCATACCACCATGTGTGTTAAGTAACTCCTTTGGTGACCTTTCTTCTATAACAATTTCATTTCCAGAAGATAAGGACAAGTCAACTGAAGTCAAGGGGGCCGCAACGTAAAATTGAACACCATGATGTTTAGCAGACGACGCTAGGCTATATGTTCCAATCTTGTTCGCAGTGCCACCTAAAATCAAATTAATTTTTTTAGATTAAAAGTAACAAAGGATTTTTTGGTAAAATAGTAATAACATACCATTAGCAGTAACACGATCAGCTCCAACAATGACAACATGGATAGATCTAGTTTTCATTAAAGCAGCAGCTGCAAAATCTGCTATAAGAGTCGCGGGTATTTTGTCATGAACTAATTCATAAGCTGTTAATCTTGATCCCTACACTTTAACGAATGAACAAAAACAGTATTGACCGAGTCAGACATTTCATCAAACACCTAAGGTGCACACACAACTAAAGAACTATTCCATATTTCCATGTAATAATGAAGATTGTTTACTTGGTTAAATGGACGGGTTTCTGTACAATAAGCTCTTTCAAGTACTCCATCAGCATGTAGTGCATGGATTACTCTAAGAGCAGTTCCAAATCCAGCTATTGCAAGACTATTGAAATGAAACAATAAAGAACAAATCATAAGAACATGTAGCTCAAGATCTAGAGTATGTCATGTAGAGAGGGAGATGACTAGCCTGCCAGTATTACAACGTGTCAAAACAGAAAATTTCTTAGATTCCTTTTGTTGAATTTGAATGAAAGAAGATCCATATGACCCGATTGCTTTATTGGAAGCAACATCATCTTCCAGCATTACTTCAGCAGCTTCAATGTAAGCCCGAAAAGGCAAAGAACAGAAAGTAACTAAATCAAACATGAATACATGATATGAGTTACAAGGAGAGAGAAGAATTACAAGGAACACTTGGTTAGCACCCGTAGCAGTTGCAGCAGAGTTCGACAATCTCTGTAAGTTTAGTTGCAACATCTGAAAGATTCACAGTTGTTGGATGACTGTGAAACAGTAGAACAAATCAGGAAAAAGTTATGAGGAAACACTACACTTCAGTAACATCTCAAATCTCCAAATAGATAGTATCAAAAGGAAGTTTTCTCTGCTCAAAACAATAGTTACAATTAGATGAAATGAAGTGAATATGAAGGAGAAAGGGGACCTGATCAAGTAGTTGAAGTGAGCCACAGTGATTACAGATGGCTTGCAGAGATGAATCGGCTTGAGATGCCATTGATGGAAATTGGAAGCAACTGCAATTCAGCAGAAAAGTAATCCAATCTTATTGGAATTAAAGGCTGGTTACAAATAAGTTGGATTGAGTCGCGGAACACATGTAGACGAAGACGAAACTTGCTGGAGGAACATGAGTCGTGAGTGAGGTGATCAACGGAGTTGGAGGCGGCTTAAGGCGAATGATATTCGGAGTCGAAAGGCGAAAAAAAGGTTCTCAAATATCTATAAGAAGAACTACAATCATCTTGATGGTAATCGGTGGATATATTTACAAGAATTTGAAATTATCGACTTACCTCAACTTGACCTTGTAGTGACTGAACGTAATTGATGATTTCATCGAGCATGAGTGCTTTTCCAGTGACCTAAGAACATGATTTCGCATTTTGATTTCATCGACCATGAGTGCTTTTCGAGTGACCTAAGAACACGATTCTGAATTGGCGACGAAGACGAACCAGAAGCCTTTAGAGGTGGCGACCTGGCGGTGGTGGATTCTCTTTCTACGACACCGGCGACTTTGAGTTTGATGACACAGGCGGTGGAGGATTGTCTTTCTACGACATCAGCGGCTCTCAATTTGATTGAGGAGGAAGACGAAGCAGTGAGCGGTGGAATGTATTTAGGGCTTAACCAAAGAATGGGCATTGGGAAGAAGTAGACGATAATGGAGTCGGGGTTGCGTTTGTGGAGGCTTCGCAGTTGGCAAGATATCCTATAATCGGAGAGTAGCAACGTATAGGGAGGTGGTGGTGATAGGGTTTTGGCTCTGAACTGTAAAGAACAAAGACCGCGAGGTTAATCTAGTAATTTGGAAGATAGATGGTGATGGGGAAGAACGGTCGTCTTTGATTGTAAGTCGACGGCGGTGGGAGACACTCGGAAGGTGAATGGAATAGCTACTGTAGACAAGCCTCTCCAAATTTAAGTGTATATATAATACGCCTTTAACTAGAAACATACATCCCTTTCTAGTACGGGCTTTATTATATCCGTATTATATTATGGTGTATTGTATTATCCTTTTTCCAGTAGTGTGTCTCATGGTCAGAAAGTATGATGCATTCTAAGAAATATATATATATATATATATATATATATATATATATATATATATATATATATATATATATATTTTAAATTAAAAACTAGGAAATGACCCTATATTGCGATAGTTACATGTTATTGGCCTATTGGGTACACATTGATTTGTTCTTCATCAAAGGTTATGAAATTTTGTGACTGTCATTGTTTGATATGTATATAAAATCGTTTTATAAATATAAATATGAAGTTGTTGATCAGTTCCTTCGTTCTAAGAAACAATCAGAAACTTAGTCACAATCAGAAAACTTAGTTGTTAATGTAAGTGGTGCATGTAAGATATCGGAGGCACATAGGACTTCAAACACATACAAAGTAGAAGACAAGAACTTTTTTATTATTAATGTTCATTACACAGTGCATGGATTAGGGTTGTCGGTTTTACTAACATAACGAAAACATAAGCAAAAGATTGGAGAGACTCACATGCAGTAGGTTACGTAAAAGAGGCTGCTTCACCGTATGAACGGAGCCCTTGGCATTTCACCATATTTGACATTTAAAATTACCTAAAATCTTCAAATCATTCTACAAAATCAAAGGTCTTAAGGAGATGTTACTTGAACTCGATTAAATAAAAAACCACATTACGGTTACAAGTATTGCTTCTTACATTTTTTCTGTATTTTTTACAATTTTTGCGTACTTTTGATAATATTTGTTGTATGATTTCGTGTTGTTTTTTTTAATAATGTTTCTACGTTTGTAAAACTTTGGTTGATGAACATATAATAATAGAAGTTCAACAAATAATCTAAGAAAACAATCTACAAGGTTTGAAACTGAGAGACACAAAGCTACAAAAGATGATCAAGATCCTAACACCAATGATTTATAGATGTAGATATTTCATCAAATAACTTCTTTTAAATTTTCTATCAACAAACATTAGAAAAAGAAACTTTACTAACCTATTAAAATAGTTATATTGAAACACCAAAATGACTGTGATCATGCGGTTGGTTCCATTTTAGTGTTTCCCAAAAAATACTTCCTGTAAATCTATCTTGCATCAACTAAAACCAAGTCACCCATGGTGGTAACTGAAAAGCGAGAAACGTTAGTGGTGGTTCTGGCGGATGGTTAATCGAACCTTTGCATCAAAAAAGAAGAAGCATAATGTAGGAGATGCAGTAACATGGACCAAGGCGTTGGAGGCGGTTATTGTGAAGAATCGAAAATTGAGAATTTTCTCTGCAATATCATACCCATGAGCAAACTTCAATCATCTGGAGGTAGGCTATTTAGGGCTCGATCGATAGTTAGAAATTTGTAGAGAAAATCATCGGGGGTGTGTGAGCAAAAGCGTGGAGGTGGTGGACATCTAGCTTCATATGTGCAAGTATATGATCAGAAGGCAGATTAAAAATTAAGCCCTAGTCGGTGCATCGTCTGATTAGATGATAGGGGCAATGGAGGGAGCAAAAATGGAGTGGTGCTCCGACGAAGCAGAGAGCAGCAAAGAAGCCAAATAGAAGTGAGGAAGGAGACCAGTACTGATGATGGAAACGAATCAGCGGAAATGCTAGCTAGATTCGGCGATTGAGCTGGTTTCGAGGGGTGCCATAGTTGGAAGTCAGAGGAGTGAGATGGTAGATACTGGATGTTTTCATCTGAGAGCAAATAGGTGGATAAGAGATAGGCGATGGAACACTGGATATTAAACTAATTACAAACTAACCCGTAGAACAGTATCATGCTCAGGTATTAGGGAACAGGAAATTTATTTATATATATATATATATATATATATATATATATATATATATATATATATATATATATCGTGTTCCCTAATCCTGAGCATGATACATTTTCCACGCGTTAGTTTGTGATTAGTTTAATGCCTACTGTTCCATTGCCTATCTCTCATCTATATATCTGCTCTTAGATGAAACATCCAGTATCCACCATCTCACTCCTCCGACTTCCAAATCTTTTTAGGAATATGAATGACTTTTATAAAGAAAAAATAATAATAAAATCATTGTTTTTCAAGTAAAGTGTCGTAAATTTAATAGTTTTTGTTTGTTATAAATAATTTATTATGTATGTAAAGTGTTACATGGACATGATTTATAAATATTAAATAGACAGTTAGTATTATGGAATGGTTATCTTATTTGTTGGTGATTTTATATCATCAAATATTATTTAAGTGTAATAGGATTAAATTTGTTGACCAAAAGTGATCTTGTTGAATATTGAACAAGTTAGGATGGTGTAGGAGTGCACACTTGTTCAAGTTTTTCAAGATTTAAAGTACATTGCTATTTAGGGGCGAAGCCCCTAAACGAACGGGGGTCCGGGGGCGGCAGCCCCTGGCTGGGATCGAGCTGCCAGGTCAGCACGAAATTTTTTTATTTGGACTATGTTGCTATATTAAAAATTGCATCAAAAATCCAATTTTAGAAAGTTGACCCTTTATTCCATGACATTCGTTTAATGACAGTTTGGTAGTTTTATGACAGTTTGTTGACAGTTTTCAGACAGGATTGATATATCCGTTTTTTGGTCAATATTCTGGTACATGTTGAAGAACATTTTCATATACATTCTCAAATTTCATTCTCTGAATTTCATCCAATCGAGTGTTCGATCTGTACCATCGAAATACTTCAATTTGATAGTGAATCACGACTTTCAGAGAATCCAAGCAATCTATTCATCCATTTTTCTAACATTATTGTCTCTCAATAAACGATCATATGAATATAAATACAAGCATTGGGTCTTGGGTCGATAAAAAATTGTACAACTATACACATGTTTATTTAAAATAGTTTAATTATAGTCACAAAATTAGACGTAATTAACAAGGGAAACATTTTTGTTTGAATAAACTAAAACCGTTTTATACCTACCAAGGATCAAATTGTAAGAACTTAGAAAAATTAAATATAATCAATGAAGCAAAAAGTATAACAATATTTGAAGACTTTGGTTCCTTTTGACAATTAGGAAATTAATGAAGATGACTTTATAACTCGAAGTAGAATTTCTCTATAATGCATGCATTAAACAAGCGTTAAACCACCAAAATATGCTAGTAAACACTTGTATAAAGTTTTTCTTAAGCTTTAAGACAGATACCAAATAAGTCATTAAAGAGAACCAACTTAAAGAACCAAAAACTTGCACTGAAAATCAAGAGATTTAGAAGGGAAAAAACCTTCATGATTTCAACATTAGGAGGGAGAGAGAGAGAGAGAGAGAGAGAGAGAGAGAGAGAAAGAGAGAGATGAAGTCTTCTAAAAACCAGCCATTCTTTTGTGTCGTGCTTCTCTTAAATAATATCTTATATAAACAGAGTACCATACTTATTTATATTAAAGTAATAAATGTGTAAGAAAGCATTAGAGGAAAAAAAAACCTAGTCAACACTCTACCTAGCCACACCATTAAGTCATTGTGAAAGAATAGATCTCAAGTTTTGGATTTAGATATGTAAGGATTAAGTGCTTGGTGTAGAAATGGCACTTCAGTCAATTCCCACGGTGTGGCAAAGGTGACCATGACATGGCAGAGTTTAAAACCTTGACTGTTTTCCCTAGCATGACCACGACATAGCCAAGGAAGGCCACAATGTGGAAATAGTCTGCATGTTGACTGTTTGACTTTGACTATTGACTTTTTGACCAGTTTGAGTTTTGTTCAAAATTGAGTAGAGTTGGGCATTTGTTTAAGGATTGATTTTGGTTTGGATTCAAGAAGCTTGGGTTGGTTGTTTTGTTGCTAAGGTGGTGATTGAGCTTTTGATGAGTAGTTCAGGTGAGTCTATTCACTATACTCATGGGTTGAAGGCACCAATGTCGGCTAACTAGAATATGTTTATTTGATGGTATTTATCTTTATAAAACTTGCTGATATACCTATATGTACTTGTTGTCTTTGTGAATCATGCTTATATGTTTGTATGCTTATGTATGTGGGGCTGATACATACCCAACATAGCTACAAGCTGTTATATAGAGTCACTATGGACTCAAGGTTGATACGGACTCGACACGGCTACAAGTTGTTACATAGGGTCATTATGGAATCGAGGTGTATACGAACCTGGGGGTTGATACAGACCCGACATAGACACATGTTGTTATATATGTATATATGTTGTATGTGGTCTTTTTGGGAACTCAGTAAGCTTTGTGCTTATGGTTGTGTGGTTTAAACATTTTTATGTACTTCCAGTTTTAAAAGGAAGAGTTCGACTTGATTGCACTACATCCCCTGAAGAACAATGTAAGAGAGAATGATTGACTGAATGATTCTTGATAATAGTGAAGGTACATGTCCCGCACATAATACAAAGGTGACTACTCCTTAAATAGTAAAGGTGTAAGTAAAAGAAAAATAGTAAAAAATTAAGTGTGGACTGCTAGACCCTGAGGATCAATAGACTGACATAGTCGTTGCTGTTGATCTTGTCCCATGTACTATAGTCAGAGACAATAGCAAAAGAACAAATTAGTACTTATAATAATAAATGTGTATTACATACTCAAAACATTTAACACAAAAATACATCTCAAACCGATCTTGACTTCTGAATGGAACGCATCTCGAAAAATCTTCACCTCGGATTGCTTAAGGATCAGTTTTCATATTCTAACAATCGACCCCTAAGTAACCTTAGCAATCTCCAAGCTCATCTCTTAACTTGATCAAACACAAACAAGTAAGCACTCTGGTGACAACTTTGGACTTCGATGTACCATTTGAGATGCTTAATAAATCTCTTCTTGATGTGCTCAGAGGAATTACTCTTGGCAGCATTTGAAATGAATTTATGAAGAACCTTGGTGGGAACAAGGTGTTTGTCCATAAATCTGAAAAATTCTTTTGGATTCGATTTCTTCTTGAGGTAGATGTAGCTAAGTTCATGTTCTTTAATTGGTCCTTCAGGTAAGATCAGAGCTGCAGGGTTGGATCATGATTTGAAAATTTCTTTTTGATTCGACCGTGCATTGTTGGATAAAAGGTTCTCAATCTCTCACACTCTATTCAGATCATGATTTGAGGATCATCTGATGGATGCAAGGGTGCGAACTTGATATAGTAGTTTCCATGTGGAGAGATTAGTATATCAATTTGGTCAGCATCATGTGTTGGAAGATCGAAGTACATAAAAGGAACAAAACGTATATCGTGTAGAATCCCTTCTCGGAAGATAGGAGAAATGCCCAACATCGGATTTGGGTTGTCTTTAAGTGCTTGAATCTAGATGCTTTCTTCCGATGTTTGCTATATTTGTTATTTTGACAAGCCCTCAAACTTTTTCGATGAATTCATTGGGTTGTCCGAACTGGTTGCTATTTATTTGCCTTTTTTCAGTTGATTTCCCTTCTTCGGAAAAAATGGAGGATATGATTTGTTGGTCGGTTTGAGTGATTATCAACTCGAATGAAGGAGGGACCAAGGATTCTTTAGGAATGTCATCCGGTTTCTTGGTAGGAGATCATACATCAGTATGAGAAATTCTCGGAGTAGGAATTGGAGGAGGTATTGGCTGCGTAGCTCAGAATGCATCAATTTTTAGTTTTGTCTTGATTTTAACCATGTATCAGCTCCTTTTAAATGCATTGGATAAGGTTGATGGCTAGGAAACTGAGGACCGTTTCAACTTCTCTTCTTCCGGAAGAATTTTGGTGGGTGGTTCCTTGATAGCTTGAAGACCAAGAATTACATCTTTCACAACATCATTTTTAACATCTTTAGCTTCGGAAATATCTAGTTCCACTATCTCTTTAATAGAATCTTCATCTAGGAGAGAGAAATATAAGATAGTTTTCCATTGAATAGTTTTTTGCTGTATTGCCTGGAGTTCTCCCCCTATTTGCATTGGATGGACCTGCCTCCCATGCAAGCAATTCATCAAACTTGAGTGCAGATAAGCACTCAAACATATGCTAAATACTTAGGTTGATTTTCCTAAAAAGTGAATCATAGGCTTCTACCGTTGGAACCTAAGATTTAAGGTAATCTGGTCGAGAATGAAGAGCGATTCATCAAACTTGTAGTTTGGAATGTACATGATGTTGAGTTGCACAAATGACCTTGATGAGTACTTCTTGAGTGACCAAGTTCATGGTGTCTTTGTGACAGATCTATTTTTTCCAACATCTGAATCTGTTTCTCATGGAGAATGTGAGTTTGCCTAATCAGGGTATTTATGGTTGTGAGCATATCGTCATGGACTTTGAGCATAACGTTGATTATAGTGATGTGATGATCCATGTTTTCGTTGTAACAAGCTTTAGCATCTCCAAGAGTGTGACTCAGGTGAACCGAGATAAGCTGATCTAGTTTATTTGTATTATCAAGTTCGGATGGAGTGGCAACCTTAATCTCAGAGAGAGATTTAAGTACCAGGCCAAATTTAGAATTAAGACCGTCTACCTGCTGAGTGACTTTTTGATCTAGGAATTAGCTTCAACAATGTTATCTCGGAGTTCTAATATGGCAAATGGATCCGTAATATTCTCATTGGAGGATCTGGTGTCCGAAGTGGAACTTTCAGACTTCTGATCATCACCATCTATGCTCTTGTGGTCATCTTGTGGAGCTTCTTGAGAAGGAGTGTATTGATGACCTTCTAATGAATTTTTTGGAGGAGGAGGTGGGACATCATTTAGCTCGAGATCATTATTTTCATCAGATGCTTCTAAGGACGAAGAGAGTCCAAAATGAAAACAAGCTTTGGAGGAGGAAGGATTCTAAAAAATGTTGAACGAGGAGGAAACATGAATAGATCTAATAGTTGTGCCTTCATCTTAAAAAAGAATTTCTTCCAAAACTTCATCATTGGCAACTAGAGAAGACACATCTGCAACATTCACAAACTTTGGAGGAGAATCATCCAAGATATTGTTTGGCTCGGGAACATCTCCCTTAGCAGCAACAGTTTCTTAAAGAGAATTAATCATTGTGTCATCAGGAACTTGAACTCCTGAAATTTGTATGGGCTTGACTGCATTGATGATAGGTTGAAGTTCTTGATGAAATATATTCATTTGATGGATACACGGGGGTGCGACTGCTGATTTTTCATTGGCACATCGAGATGAGCGTGTATTCCACCTGTTCTCTTGATAGCTTTGAATATAGTGTATGATCCCTATCAACAAAATTCCTCCTAATCCTTGTATAAATAACTGATTCTCCTCTACCTGAACCAAGTATCAGACTAGTTGCAACTTTTGAAATAAGGTGACTGCTCATGTCTCGAAAAGCTTGGAACCAGTGGCAGGGGCCACTGATTGTGCATGTGAAGAATAAAAAGGGAAATTCAAGTTGACTCTTGAGTGTGTTCTAGGGGAATCTAAGGGACTTTGTTCAATAACGACACTACCTTATTAGAAATGAGGGGGTAGATTATGTGCAGACTCCCCGTGAGCGTGTGCATGTGATTTCGGAACTCTAAAGAGTACTTTGAAGAGTGGTTGGGAGGGGTTGGCTGAGACCCGGAGTTAGTTCGAATGTCGATTTTTTAATCTTATTGAGAGGATTCATCATATTGTGTTCACTTTCTGGCTCTATCTTTAGGTGAATGCCCATTTGTGAATCCAATGTTGGTGTTGTAGGTGCTTCCCACTTCTTTATTTCTTTGATTTTGGAAGGGACTACTTGAATACCCTTTTTTCTAACCACATGTCTAAGAAAATGTACTTCTCTTATCCAAACTTCACACTTTGAGAAATTGTCGTGCAACTTATCCATTCTTATCAATTCTAAGATGATGTGTAGGTGTTATTCATGTTCTTCCTCAGTTCGTGAGTATATCAATATATCATTGATAAACACAATCACGAATTTATCCATGTAAGGTTTACAAACACGGTTCATTAGATCCAGAAGACTATTGGGGTGTTAGTTAGACTGAAGGGCATAACTAGAATGTCGTAATAGCCATAGCAAGTACTAAATGTTGTCTTTGGGATATATTCCTCTTGTATTCGAAGTTGGTGGTACCCTGAACTTAAATCAATATTTGAGTAAAATCTAGATCCTTGAAGCTGGTCAAATAGATCATCGGTCCTTGGGAGTTGATATCTATTATTGATCGTTGATTTTTTAGCTCTCGATAATCTATACACATCCTGAAGGTTCTATCCTTTTTCTTTACAAATAACATTGGGGCTCCCCAAGGTGAGAAAATTGGTCTTATGAAGCCCTTATCGAGAAGCTATTGAAGTTGTCCAGATAGTTCTTGCATTTTTGAAGGGGCTAACTGGTAAAAAGATTTTGATACTGGCGTTACCCTTGGGATTTGGTTAATTCGGAATTCAAACTCGCAAATTAGTGGTAGTTTGGGTAATCTTCTATAAACACATCGGGAAAATCACTTACTTGCGATATGTCTTTGATTTCCTTCTTCTCATCCCTCTTATCTATAATGTGAGCTAAGAAAGTGTAATATTTCTTGTGAAGGTACTTCTGCACCTTTATGCAAGAGATAATTATAAGGATTCTCCGTTGGGCAAGGATAATCATTTCGATTTTTCATAGCATAAAATTTTGGCTTGGTGTAGTGACAACCAATCCATGCCAATCATGACATCAGAACTCCCGGTTATCATAGATGTGATGTCAACATGAAAGGTGTGATTTTTTAGAGTTATAAGGCAATTTTCTAATATTTCCCGAGTACTGCGAGATTCTCCGTTTACGTAAGGCTCTTCTAGGATCTTAGACTTATGCTTTAAAAGTTCTATAAACTTAATGGTAATAAAACTTTTCTCAGCTCTATAATCAAAGAGTAGAATGATGTATAAATTTTTAACAGGAAACATACATGCTACTACGGTTGGGTATTGAATGGTGGCCCTTATGCAAAGCACAAATGCTCTACCCCAAGCATTTCCTCCATCATTCCTCAGTTTTAGTTAGTTCCTCTTGATGTGCATAATTATTATACATTTAAAACAAGCTCAAATTTTTGGCGTAATAGCAAACCTTGGATTTGTCATGGCAACAGGCGCAGGCACAGGATGTATGTAGTACCCGATGGTACTTTCTTATTGCACCTGCTGCAGAGCATGTAGTTGTCTGAGTGGTGGTAGTGGCACATGTCACATCTCAAGTGTTTACCCGCGTATTGTCCTTAAAGGGTGGGGGCTTCTACCATTATTAAGGTTGGAGTGATGGCATAGGCTTTGACAATCTCTTATTTCTTATTTGGAGCTTGCTTGGAAGTACTCTTAAAACCCTTTTCAAACTTGTTCTTTTTTTTCTCGTGACTTTGGGAGGTTAACTCTTTGGATCAAATTTCTAAGTCTTATCTCTTTGTTGGTTATGTTGACATAAATCTATTGGCACTCTCATATGTCATTGGTCGAGATGTTGTGATCAACCCTTGTCTGGGCTGAACTAACCCCCATATGTATCTTTTGATCTTTAGGTCCATGAAACTAGGACAAATAGTGATGAGATCACTAAATCTATTCGTGTAGGTTGAGATGTCAGATTTGGTCATGGTCAGATTCCATAACTCTTGCTCCAATCGATGTATTTCCTCCTGAGGGTAATATTCCTCAATATATTCCTCGATAAGCATTTGCTTGAGTTGCTTCCAAGATAAGGCATTTTCATTGGCAAGGTCCATTGCCTTAACGTGGTTGTTCCATAAATACATGTCCGTATTCGTGAATGTTCAAGCATAAAACTTCACCTTGCATTCCTCAAGACAAGAGCTAATCTTGAAAATACATTCTGACTTTTTGATCCATCTTGTGAGTCTTATGACTCCTTCGTTTCTGAAGAACGTCTTATTGCGGTTAGTAAAGACCTTGGAGCTGAAAGTCCTCGAGGCATCTTGAATGTTTCCTTGGGAGATTTCACCTCCCGTTCCAAACTTGTATGGCGCTTGTTGCCAAATGTTTCCATAGCGTTAAAAATTTGTTGTTCCACCAGGGCCTTGATGGTTGATGTGTCCATAGGTGGGTTACTCTGAGTAGATCAGGCATCCTGATCTACTTGGGGACCTTGTTTGGATTTGGTATTTCTCGTGGTTGCCATTTCTTGCTTCCTAGAGTTTGTGTCGTAGCGTGAGTTAGTTGATTGTATTTGTATAGTTAGCATCCTCGTGGGAGTGACTAGGACGTGGAGTGTTAGTGTTAGTGTTAGTGTTAGTTCTTAGTCAAATAGTAAAGTGATAATAAAGAACACGGATTTCGGACAACCATATTATATTATATGCATCATAATATTTTATAGAGTGTCCACCAAAAAGTGGTGGTTAGTGTAAGAAAAGACCTGTAGTTTACAAAATGAGCAAGTATGTCGTACGTGCGAAATTTTCTAATTACACTAACCCAAATTGTATCGATATGTTCATCTCAACCATCATGCTAGGGAAAATTCTAACATCCACAATACACAGTCAAAAGTGCGATAAGCTGCACTAACTACCAGTAAACAAAATCTATCAAAACATCAAAAAATGATATCCTCAACTCTGCTCTATCCACTTGTTGCTCCAAACTCTCAATATGACTGACAACCTCCTCCAATAATTGTCAATCAAACTTCATATCATCATGGGTATCCTGCAACTGATACTCCACTAGGAGGATCCTCATCTCTGCCATGTCCCTCTCATCCTCTAGGTACTCTACACGCTCTGCCAACTGTAACATGGACATCCTCAACTGGAAAAGCTCAGTGTCCATAGTTCCTAAACAATCGAAGTGATGTGCAGTTTGTGGTACTAAGAAGGAGATAGCATGCTCTATCGGTGTGTCTAGGATAGGAGCTAATACGGTAGAGGATTCCTCTACCTCATAGTGATAATTGATATCCTTCGCTAATGGGTTTTGGGCATTACATCAATCATTTGGTGCACATGCAAACCCTAAAGCTTTAGATCTAGTTTGTCCAACTGTACATGCAATAATCATCCAAAGATCATAAACCCTAGATCTAGCATACTATAATCGTAATCACATATGAAAATAGGGTTTAGATCTTACGTTGATTGTTATGTAGTAATAACAATCACAATCCTTATTGATCTTGACTTCTGAAATCCTAGTGCCCCAAGTGTTGCACCTCTAATGGAGTCACAAACACCATTAGCAATAAGGATGACTTAGGAGAGGGAGGAGTAAGCACAAAATTCATCTAATGGATCTCTTAGAAGGTTAGGTATGATTTTACAGAGCCTTGGGGTTTCTTTTATAGTTAAGGCTCCTAGGGTATGCAACTTAGAAACCCTAATTCCATTGCTTAGGCCCTAAGAAACTCATGGATCCCCATATAGTATGCCTTGGACGAAAATGTATGGGCTCCCCATAGATTTTCATCCATCCTATGCTAATAGTATCCATTAGCCCAAACTACAACTATTACCGATTTACATAATCAGTCTCCACTGATTTAATTAGTCTCTTTTGATCACCAAATTAATTTCAAATTAATTTCCAATCAATACTAATTAAATAATATGATTTCTCTTATAATATATCATTCTTATAATATATTAATAAATCATAATTAATCCTCTTTCTTCTTAATTCATCCTATCAGTTCCTATGGTGAAGGCAACCCAAAAGGACCATGCTCATAATCGAGTCAAGTACATACCAAAATAGTTATGAGATTAGACACCTTAATCCATCAGTCTCCCACTTGGATAAGTCTAATAACTATTTTGCAAGTACAACTTCAGAACCTGATTAGCAATCGTAGCTTTCAAAAGCCGCTTTCAAACTCTGATCTTATCAGTAACGCATCCTTTAGATAAGGGATCATATATTCCTCCATTCTAGATATCGTATGAACTGAGACATGGATTTAAATCATACCCTCTGTTCATGTGTTGTTTCCCGATTCCTGATTTATGATGACTGACAACAGACTACAATTGAACACATCAACTTAGTCCAGGCTTGACCAAGCGCTTAGGGTGTCATCATTAAATCATTGAGGGGCCCACATATATCGCTTTTATCCCGCATTGGGTAAAAGGAACGGATAAACTTCAACTCATATGCTTGCTCAATTTACTCATCAAATCACACACAACAATATGTTTTATAACACCAAGTTACTGGTGCGTTTACATATTATCAATGTACAACTGACTTGTAAATTGCAACTCTATGTCTCCCTTTCAAGAATATAAGATATTATCGTCTCACTAATCACTCGTGATAAAATCCATGAAGCGAGTCAAGTGAGCATGAGTTTAATCCAATACTCAAATCTTATTTCAGGAGCACTCATGAACACCGCAACTGACTTTTTCTATGTCTAAAACACTTCAAACAATCTATAGTCAGATTCATGACAGTCTTACCTTAATACTTACTTCAAAAGTATGATCGACTGTGGATGGTTTGAATAATCTTATTATTCGGAAAGTCAAAACATGCAAAGTGAAACACAAGAATAATACTAATCCTATATGGCCCCAAAACTTTTGAGTATAAATAAAATACCTTTATTTAATCACCATATTGATTACTCATTATTCATTGTATAATGTTTCAGATAATCAGGTTATTACTTGAATTATAACAACAATTGTCCCATGTTCCAAGCATGCACACTATGTT